CCATCAGTTATTATCCAAACATATCCTTCACTCATCATTCCAATCTCTGTTGCTTTGTCAAAAACCCGAGACCCAAGATCTGGGGTCATATGAACAATGAACACTCTACTTTGCATTGACATTAACTTAAATAACTCTTTTTCAATTTCCTCGTCAGTGGCCCTAGGAGAGATAACGCTTCGGTAAGGAATCCGAGCATTAACCTCTTCTAAAGCGTCGGATAAGTAAGGTATAACCCCTTCTCCAAACTCATTGTCTACATATATGGGCACGGCTTCTCTCCATCGGAAGGTTTGGACAATGGCACTAATGGCTTTGACTTGGGATGAGTCGTTGTGGGTTGCTCGAAAAAAGTACGGACTTCTCATTGAGGAAATTAGGAAAGGACTCGTTGCGGAGAAAGAGATGATAGGCACTTGAGATTTGTTTCCGAGGGCTATCATGAAGTTTGCTTGCATTGAATCGCTGGGTCCTATGACTGCTTGCACTTGGACATTCTTAATCAAGTCCAGAGCTGTTTAGAAAATTAATTCAAGTTTAGATGTACTTGCATTAACTGCAGAGTAGCAATTGGCTGGTAATGCCAAGATATTTCATTTACAGAAATCATGCTATGTGCTATTTGATTGTATTATACCTTTTAGTAATTATCACATATAATAATATTGGTTCATAACTAAAATTAATTTTTAATTAATAAATATAAAAAAATTTAAAATATATATTCATTTATTATAAATATATAACTTCTACATCAATCATATATCTTAATGTTAATATTTTAATATTTAACAATTGAATGCAGTTCTAATTGCAAAATTTATTTTTGTTCAATAAAAAATAAAAATATATATTAACTCGTCAAAGTAGGCAAAGTGAAGTGGCTAGGTGTTTACCGTCTTAATATAATTCAATGATTAGTCTATTAATTATCAGTTTAATTTTATTTTAATTTAAAAAATTAATTTTCTTTTTAAATGATTTATAAATTCGTAAAATATTTTAGAATTGTCAAATATAAAATTTTTTTATTAGTTTTAAAAGAAAAATAACAAAAAAGTTAAATTAAAATTAAAATAAAGTAATCCCAAACAACAAAATAGTTTATAATAAATTATACAAATTAATAAAATATATCAATAATTATGGTTTCTACTACAAAGAAAAATGATCAAAAAGGGAAAGTTAAAACATGTGATAAAAGCTAATCTTTTAGGTTATGAAAAAGAACTTATCATTTTCATAAAATTAATTTTAAAATGTAAAAGTTCACAAAAGATAATATCAATTTGACTAAATGAAATGAAACTTATTATAAAATTACCAAATTAGATTAAATTGAAATAAATTAAGAAATAGTAGATAAATCTAAAAATATATAAAAATAGCAAATAAAACAAAAAAATATTATTAGACTCTTTGTTAAATTAAACCATATTTACAAGAAAAAGAAGCAAAATAAAGAGAGAAAAGGAAAAAAGAGGCCGTACCAGCAGCGGCAGCCCCAACAATCTCTCCCTCAGAGTCTTTTACATTTAAAACTAGCCTGGTTCTGTAGTTACTATGGTTGAAATAAAAATCAGAGATGGCCATGTTGATGCAACTCAACCCTAACTTCCCAATCCACGTATCCAGATCAAGAACCACTCCCACATTCACCGGAATCGTGGCGGAGGCCATAGTATTTTGAGCCACCGTAGCCTCCACCGAGAGCAACCTGCAAAAAAGAACAAAGAAAAGCGAGGAAATACAGAACAAGAGATTGGTAGGAATCATCTCCATTTTTTTCCCTTCCGAATGCATGGTGGTCAGGCAGGTAGAAGTAGTATTTTTATGGTTGATGGTGGGTGTGGGTTGGACCATGAATAATCCAGGTTGGAAATTGCTCCTTGGAAAGGGATATCACGTTACTAATATAATAAATAATCAGTAATGTATGGACGAATGGCCCTTATTTTTGTAATTAAATAATCATTATGAATGGACGAGATGAATGGACGAATCGCGTTGACATGATATACACAATTGTGTGGGAAATCAATAGGTTCCTCTAAAAATTTTAACGGTCTGTTTTTTTGTAAGGTTAGTCCGAGGTTATGAACCCCAAACGTATTGCTATGTTACATTTCTTTAATGATTGAAATAAGGTGTAAATTCAGTTCTTCTTGGTCGCACAAATGCGTGATAGTTAGAGTGGGTATGTCTGTACCTAATTTTCTATTCTCAAAATCATCATCTTATAAAACACTTTAGATTTTGATTATCTCATTAAATAAATCACGTAGATATCTCATTAAAACTTATAAATACCTTTCACTCAAAAAGATAATTGAAACTAATTTAAAATTTATTTTTTCATAATTTTTAAAAGTAAACCAATTATCATTGATTTAAACATCGAAGTCCCTATTGTAGGTCAACTTGAAGAGAAGGTTTGTACTGAAGAAGATATCTCGGTTCGTTGCAATTACATTTTTATTCTTTTTATATATGATAGTTTTCACTGTCTGTGTCAAAAATCAAGACTCTCGACATCGTAACTAATCTACTCTTCCAAACCTGCGCCTTTTAGAGCATGCTTAATGGAAATTTTCTTTTATTATTCTTTTTAAAAACAAAATAAAGACAAAACTATAATTTATTAGAGACCCATTAAAATTTTGTTTGGAAAGAGATCTTTATGCAATGATCAAATGATCCAAAGGTGGGTTGGGTCATGGTGCAATTCATTTTCTCCAATCTTTCTCTGTTTTTTTCTTCTTCTTCTTTTTTTTTCTCTTTTTGCTTAATGTTATTAAATATCATTGTATCTTGCCAAAAAGGAGTTACTGTCATCCCTCTACTAAAAAAATTCATAATAAGAGTGCTATGGAACTCAACAAAAATAACTGAGGAACCAACGCCGTGATAACGTCCATCAACTAGAGGACTAAGCTTGGTCCTTCTTAAAATTGAGGGATTATTATGAATTGTTTTTAGTAGAGGATTGATAATTGTTCTTTTTGTATAATTTAAAGATTTTTAGTGACATTAATCTTTTTTTTTTTTTTTTAACTTCTTAAAAGTTGGTAGTGGCTTGACTCAAGCGTGCAATTCATTTTTTCCACATTTTTTCTTTTTAAAAGTAGTAAGTGGCTTGAGTCAGGTGGCAGTATTCATTTTCACCAATCTTTCCTTTCCTTTTACCTTTTTATCTCTTTTTTTTATAAGAACTTTTTAAATGTGGCTGGTGGCCTGGCAATCCATAATTGAATGTGATTAGATCAAATGATCAAATGGTTGACAAATAATTTTTTAAAAATTAATTTAGAGCCTTTTTTTTTTGTTTGAAGTGAATTAAATAAAATAATATTAAATTTATTTTTTATATATTTTTTATTATTTAAAAATTACATTAAATCATAATTAATTTATAATTAAACTACATCAAATTTTATAAAAAATAATTTTTAATATTTACTTTTTTTACTTATAATATTTGAATTCACTTCAAGAAAAGTATCAACATGATGATCAAAAGTCAAACACTTATAGAAGAATTTTCACTTTTACAGCGTTAGTGGGACATCATGTCAATCTTAACTTATTTTTAAACAAAACTAACATTATCAAACTCGTTTGTGGGATCTTTAGTGTATGTGTATCTATCCTTTAAAAGAGTAAAAATGATTAATAATATTAATAAATAATAATGGAAAATATATAAAAAAAAAAGTCTACTATTAAATAAATAATATATAAATATTTTCATAAATTTAGAAAATCTTTTAATACTCTATAATAAGAATTTATAATATTAAAATTGTTTTACTAATTCTAATTTATTTAATTTAAAATGTAATTAATTCTAAAATTAAATTAAAAATTTTGTTCATACAAATATATAAATTTAAAAAATAACTATTATAGAAATAACTTCAAAAGAATAAAGACAAAAAAAAATTCTACACAAATAGAAAAAGATAATTAATGAGTTTTTTAATTTATAC